ACACTCCACTAACGTACGAATCTTTCTGGGATCGATTGGCGTGTCCATATCATGAGTGAGAACATCGGCATCTGGATACGTATAACCTGGGGGCGGGGCAATGCGGTCGGCGGGTTCCTTACAGACCATATCCATCCATTTCTTTATTCTCCAAAGAGTGTCCCGTGGTGTCCCTTCTTTGAAACCGACCTTCACACTGCCGTACATATATCTTCCTCCGTTTAAACGTTCAGTTTTATCTTTATCGTAAGCATTCCTTTCCTCCCCCTGAAGTGTCCCAATCATATTAGATATTAACTGTGCCGCATCTGCCCAGGGTATCATTTGATTTCCCCGATTTACTTGATTCGACCAATCCGTAACCCACCCTTTCAGCTCGAGATAAGTTGGTGTGAACTGGCTCGATCGCTCCTGTTGCACGCGAGGGAACGAACCTCCACCACCACCAGAGGAGCCACCAGGGCCCACACTAGTCGAAACCGAAGCTGCAGGAGATCCAGCCAAAATTTGCTTAACCTGTTTCTCCAAAATCTCTGTCCGTGCATCTGATTTGTCCATTCTCTCCGTATGCAACTTGAGTGTGTCATCCACTCTTTTGATGTCCGTCTTCGTCGATTGAACAACATGGATGAGATCCTCATGGGCATCCTCCGTTTTCCAAACATGCTTCATCATCATCTGTTTGAATGGATCCTTCTCCTTTTCTAACATCACTTTCCTCTCCTCCTCAATCTCTGTTCCACGTGCACGTTTGGATCGAGTCTCACCATCCCCAGTCATCGCGGCATCCGCCGCTGCTGCAACATGAGTCATATCTTCAAGAATATTACCGTTCAATCCGTATTTATCTAACCAGGGAACCTCGTAGAGCTCCTTGAACCTCGTAGAGCTCCTTGCACGAATAAGAATGCGAAGGATCGGAGCGGAGGGCTTTTCGGAGCATATGTAGAAAAATGTTGGATTCACATTTTTCGGTGTCAACATGAAGTCGGTGCCTGGAAGTGAACTAATACTAGAAGTGGCTCTAGAGAGCTAGTCTGCTCTCAGAACAAAGTTTATATGCCAACGCTCGGCGTAAAAATCAACTTTCTCATAATAAATGGTCAAATATCTTTCAATTTTTCGCAAAACCAGCCGAAAGTTACCACATTCTCCGTTCTGGCCGGATCGATTAACTAGCTCCAGCCGACGCCGGAATTCTTCTAGCTCATCGATAACGAAGAGCTCAACGAGGTAATATCTTTCAAATATTCGCAAAACTGGCCCAAAGTTACCACGTTGTGAACTTCATGTCGGTTGCTCCAAATTTTTCGATAGTAAAACTGGTTCTAGAGAGCTGAGCTGCTCTGTATGCCAATGCTCGGCGTACAAATCTGCTTTCTCAAAATGATTGGTCAAATATTTTTCAAATCAGCAATACCGACCCAATGTTGTCACAGTGTCTCTTCTGGTCGGGTCGCCCAACTGGGAGCTGGCAGTAAACCGTCAACAAGGTTACCGCCGGAGCCTCGTAAAGTTTTTTCCTCGCACGGCCGCGCTCGCAACACATGGGGGAAGCTCTCTTACGCGTGAGCTGAACAACTCGAAAAACTACGTTTTTCAGTTTTTATTCAAAATCGGTTCCGCCAAATGTTTTGATAGTAATATTGCAGCTACGGGCCTGAAAATTTCACTGGCAGACGCAGCACAACCCACTACAGGTGCGAAAAATACCGGTTTTCATTACGAATTTCACAATCTCTCACAATGTTCGAAAAACCAAGCCCACGTTGAGAGATTGTCCGCCCGGGCCGGGTCGGTCAACTAGCTGCACCCCGCACCCGAATTCCTCTAGCTCATCGACTGGGAGCCGGCGCCAAAACGGTCAACCAGCTTACCGCCGGGAGCCTCGTAGAGCTCTTGTCTGCACGACACTGGGAAGCTTTCTTACGCGTGAGCTGGAGCACTTCAAAAATTACGTTTTCAGTTTTCACCGAAAGTTGGTTCCTTCAAATGTTTTCATGGTAATACTGCAGCTACGGACCTGAGAATTTCACTGGCGGACGCGGCATAACCCACTACAGGTGCGAAAAATACCGGTTCTCAAAACGAATGTTCAAATCTCACAGAAAGTTCGGCCAACCGACCCAAAGTTCACACATTGTCCGCCCGGGCCGTGTGGGTCAACTAGCTGCACCCCGCGCCGGAACCCCTCTAGCTCGTCGATGCCGAAGAGCTCTACGAGGTATGCCGAAGAGCTCGACGAGGTACAAGTCGCTGTGACGATTCTGGAGCGGCGAAGATGGGCTGCTGGCAGGCACCACCACCGCCTGGCTTCTAATCTGAAACCCTATAGCTCTCAGAGAGCTCTCCGGGAATTATGGGATCCAGCGGTAAACCGTCAACCAGGAACCGCCGGGAGCCTCGTAGAGCTCTCTTCTCGCGCGGCGCTGCTTGGAACACACAGAGAAAGCTTTCTCAAGCGTGAAGAAAAAAGCTCGAAAAATACGTATTTGGCGTTTACTCTAAAGAGAACTTCCGAAATACAAATAACGTCGTGGACCTAGCTCGAGTAGCAGACCGAGATCAGACCTCTCGATACAACAGGCGAACGCGCCTGGTGATACTGGATCGGTTTACGTGCGTACCAGCTCTTCAGCTCCTCTAAATCCTGAATCAAGTACAGAAAACCGAGAGCACTGGTCAAAATGACTCGAGTAGCAGACCGAGAGCACTGGTCAAGTACGAATAATTTTGCGCAACTAGCTCGAGTAGCAGACCGAGTTCAGACCCCTGGATGCAACAGACAAACACGCCAGATTCTGTATTGATTTCCGTAAGCATCGGCTCTGTAGCTCTCCTAATCTCGAGTTAAGTACAGAAAACCGTAAACGCGTGTCAAGATGACTCGGAACACTGTCGGTTGCTGCAAGTCTTTTGATAATAAGATTGCAGCTACGGACATGAGAATTTCACTGGCAGACGCGGCATAACCCACTACACGTGAGAAAAATACCGGTTCTCAAAACGAACTTTCCAATTTTGTACAAAGATAGAAGAAGAAGAAGAAGAACAAAAAAAAAAAAAAAAAAAAAAAAAAAAAAAAAAAAAAAAAAAAAAAAAAAAAAAAAAAAACGGCCCGAAGTCACTAAATTGTCTCTTAAGGTCGGGTCTGCCAACTGGGAGCCGGCGGTAAACCGTCAACCAGGTTACCGCAGGGACCCTCGTAGAGCTCTAAATAGACCAAGTCGGTTCCTTGATAACAGCAGAACATAGCATGTCAATACAAGGTTCAAACATCAAGAAATGTTGTTTTCGGGTTTCACACAACGCTGCTTCCTCCTAGTCTTTGGATCGAAATAACCCAGCTAGTCCTAAGAATTGCACCATCGAACGCGCCATGATCGACTGCAGGGAATAAAACTCTTGATTTCCAAAACGAATTTCAAAATCTCTCACAATCTCCGAAAAAAACCTACCAAAATGTCACACATTGTCCGCCCGGGCCGGCTGGGTGAACTAGCTGCACCCCGCGCCGGAATTCCTTTAGCTCATCGTTGCCGAAGAGCTCTACGAGGTACTGGGCGCTGGCGGTAAACCGTCAACCTTTCTTACCGCCGGGGGACTCGTAGAGCTTCCTGACCATATATTATGTCCAAAGAATTAGCAGGGAACGAACAGTTTTTCAGCCCGAGCGCCGATAGCAGACTGATCTCAGGCGTCTAGTGATATCCCATTGCTGTGCTGAACAGTTCTATAGCTCATCTGCAGCGTGTAGAAAATACCATTAGGGAGAAAATAGCAGAGTACGAATCCGTGTTTGGCGTCTGCGCTCACAACAGACCCAAACCAAGCGTCTAGATGCTTCGCGCCTCATGATGTCCTTCTGATTTTTCGGCCAGCTCGAGTTCAGTGAAGAAATTCACCATCATTTGGAAAAAAATGTCGGTCGAATACAAATAGTTTTGTGAACCTAGCCCGGGTAGCAGACCGAGTTCAGACCTCTCGGTGCAACAGACGAACGCTCCCAATGTTTCTGCATCAGTTTCTGTGCGCACCAGCTCTGTAGCTCTCCTACAACACGAATTCAATACAAAAAATGGACAGCATCTGTCAAGATGACTCGAAGAATACGAATAGTTTTGCGGACCTAGCCCGAGTAGCAGACCCAGCTCCTCTGGATGCAACAGACGAACGGGCCTGATGATTCCGAATCAGTTTCTGTGCGTATGAGCTCTGTAGCTCTCCTACAGCCCGAGTTACGTGCGAAAACGGACAGCACCTCTCAAGATCACTCGAACGATACGAATAGTTTCGCGGACCTAGCTCGTGTAACAGACCGAGTTCAGACCTCTGGATGCAACAGACGAACGCGCCTGCTTATTCTGCATCGGTTTGTGCGCATCAGCTCTGTAGCTCCCCTAGAGCTCGAGTTAAGTACAGAAAACCGACAGTCCCTGTCGAGATGACCCGAGCGATACGAATAGTTTTGCGGACCTAGCTCGAGTAGCAGACCGATTTCAGACCTCTGCATGCGACAGGCGGACGCGCCTGATGTCTCCAAATCGGTTTCTGCAATTACCAGCCCTGTAGCCCCCCTACAGCCCGAGGTAAGTACAGAAAACCGACAGCACCTCTCAAGATGACTCGAACAATGCGAATAGTTTCGCGGAACCTAGCTCGGGCAGCAGACCGAGTTCAGACCTCTGGATGCAACAGACGAACACGCCTGATGATTCTGAATCGGTTTCTGTAAGCATCAGCTCTGTAGCTCTCTCCTACAGCTCGAGTTAAGGACAAAAAACCGACAACGCATGTCCAGATGACCCCAAACGGCCGATCCCGCCCGTGTGCTTTTTGGCAGTAATATCTACCCGATCGAGCTGAGATTAAGACGGCGAGCGGGAATAAGATCGAATATCACGGGGGAAAAATACTAGAGCTCAAACGAATTGTTGAATTTCGAAAACAAAATTTTCAACCGACCAAAAGTCAGCAAAAGGTCCGTCGAGATTTTTCTTGCCAACTAGCTCTCCAGCGCCCCGGAATTACTGGCGCCGGCGGTGAACCGTCAACCTGGTCTTTTGCGGTCTTTTCCAGACGGTCGATTCGAGCCTCCACGGAGGCAGACCGAACACACAAAGCAACTCAGAACAGAGCCTGAGAGCAAAACGCTGAGCGTACGAACAGCGAAGCTGTACAGCAATGCCCAAGAGCGCATATCACACTAAGAAACAACTAAAATGGAATAAATAATAAAAGCAATGCGAGACCATGCAGTAACCACATACAGCGATTACCGTCTCAGCACCACTGAGAAAAGAAGCAGTGAGAGACCATACGGTAACCACTGGTGTATACAGCGATTACCGTCTCAACACCACTGAGACAAACACAAAACTAACAACTAAAATGACGAGTACACTTCAAAGTAATGCGAGACCATGTGGTACCACATATAGCGATTACCGTCTCAGCACCACTGAAAGACCATGCACGTGAAACACAACGAATTTGCGGTCGACTGTGCACAGAGTCAGGCAAGACACCCACCACTCTTTGAGCGGGAGTGGGCAAATGCAAAACTCTTATTCCGAACAAAGTGAAGATCACGCGGAGCTCTTATACCAACATGCGCGCATGTCCGACACACACACACACACAGCATGGCAAGAGTCAACGCAAACACAAAGTCCGAAATATGTCGTAACAACCCGCGGTAAGACAAGAGTCGTATGCTCACGTCAAATATGTGATAACTGAATGTCTGATAACGCACTCAAGAAGTAACTCACGGATAACTGAATGTCTGATAACGCACTCAGTATCTTGAACCACCTGCATAACTGAATGTCTGATAACGCACTCAAGTATCTTGAATTCTGATCGATACGATTCAAAGAAAGAATGAAAACAGGCACGCCGATACAATGCAGAGAACCTCAATCTCAAGATACTCCAATGTCACAGAACTGTCAAAGTACCTCAATGTCAAAGAATACACACGCGTGCAAGAACAATAATGGAGAAAGCGCAAGCAGGCAGTACAAACAAGTACAAAGCGACGACAGCGACCTATGCGTTGAAGTCAGTCCCACTTCTGATGCCAAACAGAGCTGGCCTCCAGCACCTATCGTCTGTAGGCCCAAGGAGAGCGGGTCGTCGCAGCCGACGAAGTACCCGAATTTATTGCACGGCCCGCCCGCGCGCACACGGCCGCCCAGGGGGCAGCCTGAGGAGACAGGCTCGAGGAAGCCCCCGACGGGCCAGGCCACCGCTGAGATCCCCGAGGAGGGACAGCAGCAACCTGGTCACCGCCGGGAACCTCGTAGAGCTCCTTGCACGCGTAAGAGTGCTTAGATTCAAAGCAGAGAGCTTATCGGAGCATTTCTAGAAAAACGTCGAAATTGTATTTTTCGTTGTCAACTTGATGTCGGTCGCTCCTGATTTTCGATAGTAAAACTCGCTCTAGAGAGCTAAGCCGCTCTGGGAACAAATTTTATATGCCAATGCTCGGCGTAAAAATCTACTTTCTCAGAATGAATTGTCAAACTAGCGCCGGCGGTGAACCGTCAACCTTGTCACCGCCGGGAGCCTCGTAGAGCTCCTTGGACGCGTAAGAGTGCTCAGAATCGACGCCCAGAGGTTATTGGAGCATTTCTTGAAAAAGGTAAAATTTACATTATTCGGTGTCAATATGATCTCGGTTCCTCCAAATATTTCGATAGTAAAAAATGCCCGGGAGAGCTCAGCTTCTGGCAGAAAAAAGTTTAGATACCAATGCTGGACGTAAAATCTTCGATCTCAAAATGAATGGTCAAATATCTTTCTAATATTAGCTAAACCGACCCAAAGTCGTCACATTGTCCGCCCGGGCCGGGTGGGTCAACTAGCTGCACCCCGAGGCGGAATTCCTCTAGTTCATCGATGCCGGAGAGCTCTACGAGGTATATCTTTCAAATACCAGCAAAACCGACCAAAAGTTCTCACTTTGTCTCTTCTGGACGGGTCAACCAACTAGCTCCATCCCGCGCCGGAACTGGCGCCAGCGGTGAACCGTCAACCTGGTATTTTGCGTCTTTGCGTCTTTGCTGGGACCATCATGGCCACTGAGGCCAGGTCCAACGAAGTCTCAGGCGAACTCTAATTTCACCATTGCGAGTCAACTCAACTCTTATAACACCAGTCTGCGAAACAGTCGGAATATAAGAGAATCACACAAATGCAAAGATGAGCAACAAAGTCAAGCAAAGTCAAGTCTCATACACAAGAAGCAAAACAACGTAGCTGTACAATATATGAAGAGCGGTTGTTGGCACCGACATCTGATGACAAGGAACGAACAGCACAGAAAATAAATCAGCGTAGCTGTGCAATATAAGGAGTGGTAGTTGGCGCCGACAAATATAGACAAGTGTCTGAGACTCGAATATCATGCTCGAAACAACATTGCATAAAGAGTTGACCCACCTGAGGGAGCATCATACAAAACACGCTCCGCGGTAGAATGCACAAGGCAACTGAAACCCTCCAACAGTGACAACAACTGATGAGGCGAAAATAAAATTACGACATGAGAGCCAGAGAAACCTGGCCAAGAACTGAACATGCACACACTGAAATAATACGTTGAAGGATGCACCCAAGCTTGGATTCCAACCCCACTGAAAGATGCAGGTACTTGCCAGTGCGGCCACGCCCATAATGTTACGACGATTTGGGGAAATTTGCTTTCTGCCTCTGTCGTTGCACTCAAGGTGCGAACCTGTCGGAGGAACCACGCACGTCGAAACACGTAGAGTTTCACCTGTATTGGGAATCGCTGCACTTGTCGAAACTCCTCGGGCGTCCGAAGAATTGTATTCGGTAATCGCTGCACTTGGAAACCTCGAGAAACTTGGCAGTCTCGGCGCGGTTCATGTGTCCTGTCAAGTACCTGTGCACCTCGAAGAATTCTAGAAGATCCTCCAACGTCGCTTGCACATTCTGGAGCATCTCATACAGTTTCCAAGCATAATATGTTTGGGCCCTCTTTGTAGGGAACCCACGTTCTGTCGCCAGCTTATCAAACAAATCCGTTCCGTTCTTCAGATACTGGATCGCATTCAACTCGTTCATGCTGGCAACAGCGTCAATCCACGCTTTGACATCGGCATTGGTGGCCTGAGAGCACGTCGAGGTCCCCTTGACCTTGTCACGATCTCTCCCTCGAGTCCTCTGGCGCGACTCCGAAGAAGCGACACGGACAGACGCATCAGAACCAGGATTCGATACCTCATTGAGGGCGACATCAGAATATGCCTGCACGTTCGGTGTCGAAGAAAACTCCGCTCTCGAAAGGGATACATCGAGAACCAACTCCTGAGACCTTGCATCAGACGAAGGAGCCCTCTGCGCACAGCCTGGATTCAATACAACATTGAGCGTGACATCGGAATCTGTCTGCACTTTGGGTGCCGAAGAAAACTCTGCACTCGAAAGGGGTACCGCAACATGGTCTGCGATGTCTGCGTTGGCCGATTCGAGCTCCCAAGGGAGCAGGCCAGGACACAGAGAACCTAAACAGCGAAACTGCAAAGATTAAAGCAGAGATGCATCAAACAGCGAAGCTGTACAGAAATGCACAAGACTGCAAGTACACGAGAAAACAACTAACAATCTAATGAGTGAAGCAATGCAGGCCATAGATATGGAAGCAAAGCTAGAAGAAGTGAGAGACCATACAGTAGACACTGGTTTATACAGCGATTACCGTCTCAACACCACTGAGACAAACACGAAACTAAGAGAACTACAATAGCGAGTGCGCTTCAAAGCAATGCGAGACCATGCAGTAACCACATATAGCGATTACCGTCTCAGCACCACTGGAAGACCATGCACGTGAAACACAACGTCGAAATGTGGACTAGATAACGAACTCAACGCGCAACATACAGAGTGAGCCAAGACACCCACCACTACTTAGAGCGAATGCGGGCTCTTATCCGAACAAAGTGAAGATCAGGCGAAGCTCTTATTCAACACACGTGCATGCACGACAACACACACAGGCATGAATAATGGCAACGCAATGACAAATCACAACAGTTCTAACTCGAAGTATGTGGAAATCAAGTGCAATGAGTTCTGAACTCCACTCGAGGCGACGTATGACCTCAATATCAAAGACCTCAATATCAAGTACAATGAATTCTGAACTTCACTCGAGGCGAAATATGAAATCGGATGCCCAAAGACCTCAATATCAAGATACTCCGATGTCACAAAACTGTCAAAGTACTGAAGAAACTCGAACTGCATCTCGAACTGCAACTTCTAACTCACGAAAGACACGATTCCAACCACCCCTCGAAGATTCCCACTGCGTTGTGAATATGAGTACTCAGACTGCGACCAAAGTCAAAATTGGATACGTGCTGAGAGCAACTCGTACTAGATAACAAATGCGGCGAGCACAATCAAAAGCGGCCTGGAAGTACAAGCAGACAATGCAACAAGTACAAAACAAGCGGCCTGGAAGTACAAGATAACAAATGCAACGAGTGCGATCAAAGCAAGCGGCCTATGCACCTGCTCCAATAGGAGCTGTCTCACTTGACACAACAGAGAACCTGGCACCTGTCGTCTGTAGGCCCACGGAGAGGAGGTCGTCGCAGCCAACGAAGTACCCGAAGATATGGGACGGCCCGTACACGAGATGCACAGTGGAGTACGATACGTGTGCGCACAGAAAACCTGTCCGCACAATGCGGCTCGAGGAGGCCACCGACGGGCCAGGTCGCCGCTGAGCTCCCCGAGGAGGGACAGCAGCAACCTGGTCACCGCCGGGAACCTCGTAGAGCTCCTTGCACGCACTACATTGCTCAGAATTGAAGCAGAGAACTTTTCAGAAGATGTTCTTAAAATCTTCATTTTCGTATTTTCCGGTGTCGATACGAGGTCGGTTCCTGGAAGTGAACCCATAGTAAAACTCCCCCGGAGAAGCTGAGCTGCTCTGAGAAGAAAGCTAAAATGCGTATCCTTAGCGCAAAAATCTGGTTCCTCAGAATAAATCGTCAAATATCTTTCAAATCATAGCAAAACCGACCAAAAGTCACCACTTTGTCCGCCGGGGCCGGCTGGGCCAACTGGGCGCCGGCGGTAAACCGTCAACCTTTCTCACCGCCGGGAGACTCGTAGAGCTTCCTTGCCATGTATTATGGCCGAAGAGTTAGCAGAGAACGAATATTTTTTCAGCCCGAGCGCTGATAGCGGACTGATCTCAGACGTCTAGATACATTTCGCTATTGCCCCTGACGATTTCCTTCCCATTGCTGTGCTGAACAGCTTTGTAGCTCATCTGCAGCACGAGTAAATCCAAGGAAACAATACCATTTCCAAGAAAGTAGCAGAAAGCGAATCGGTGTTCGGCCCTAGCGCTAATAGCAAACTGAGCGCGGGTGTCCAGAGACTTTCGCATGGCGCGCATGATGATCTCTTCCCAAATGTCTACGAGCTCTCAAGCTCCTCTGCACCTCGAGTTCAGTCCAGAAAACGAACTCCATGACAAGGAAAACAAAAATAGTATGACTCGTTGTTTGGCGTCTGCGCTTATAGCAGACCCAAGCCAAGCGTCTAGATACTCTAGACTAGCGCGCCTCATGATTCATTTGGTTTACGTGCGGAAGAACTCTCAAGTTCATCTGCAGCTCGAGTTAAGTAAAGAAATTGAACATCATTTCGAAAAAGAATCGGTCGAAAATGAATAGGTTTGCAGGCCTACTTCGAGTAGCAGACCACGTGCAAACCTCTCGATGCAACCGACGAACGCGCCTGATGTTTCTGAGCCGATTTCTGTGCGCGCCAGCTCTGTAATTGTCCTACAGCTCGAGTTGAGTACAGAAAACCGACAGCACCTGTCAAGATGACTCGAAGAATACGAATAGTTTTGCGGACCTAGCTCGAGTAGCAGACCGAGTTCAGACTTCTCGATACAACAAACGAACGCGCCTGATGGATCTGAATCGGTTTCTGTAACTATCAGCTCAGTAGCGTTTCTACAGCCCGAGGTAAATACAAAAAACCGACAGCACCTGTCGAGATGACTCGAAGAATACGAATAGTTTCGCGGACCTAGCTCGAGTAGCAGACCGAGTTCAGACCTCTCGATTCAACAGACGAACGCGTCTGATGATTCTGAATCGGTTTCTGTGACTATCAGCTCTGTAGCTTTCCTAAATCTCGAGTTAAGTAAAAAAACGACAACGCCTGTCGAGATGACTCGACACGGCCGATCCCGCCGGAGTGCTTTTTGGGAGTAAAAGATACCCGATCGAGCTGAGATCAAGACGGCGAGCGTGAATAAGATCGAATATCACGGGAAAAAAAACTAGAGCTCAAACGAATTGTTGAATTTCGAGAACAAAATTTTCAACCGACCAAAAGTCACCAAAAGGTCCGTCAATATTTTTCTTGCCAACTAGCTCTCCAGCGCCCCGGACCTGGGCACTGGCGGTAAACCGTCAACCTTTCTTACCGCCGGGAGACTCGTAGAGCTTCCTTGCCATATATTATGGCCAAAGAGTTAGGAGAGAACGAATATTTATTCAGCCCGAGCGCTGATAGCGGACTGATCTCAGACGTCTAGATAAATTTCGCTACTGCCCCTGACGATTCCCTTCCCATTGCTGTGCTGAACAGCTTTGTAGCTCATCTGCAGCACGAGTAAATCCAAGAAAACAGTGCAATTTCCAAGAAAGTAGCAGAGCGCGAATCGGTGTTTGGCCCTAGCGCTAATAGCAAACTGAGCGCGGGTGTCCAGATACTTTCGCATGGCGCGCATGATGATCTCTTCCCAAATGTCTACGAGCTCTCAAGCTCATCTGCACCTCGAGTTCAGCCCAGAAAACGAATTCCATCACGAGGGAAACAAAAATAATATAACTCGTTGTTTGGCGTCTGCGCTGATAGCAGACCCAAGCCAAGCGTCTAGATACTCTAGACTAGCGCGCCTCATGACTTATTTTCATTTACGTGCGGAAGAACTCTCAAGTTCATCTGCAACTCGAGTAAAGAAATTGAACATCATTTCGAAAAAGAACCGGTCGAATACGAATAGGTTTGCAGGCCTACTTCGAGTAGCAGACCAAGTGCAGACCTCCCCATGCAACCGACGAACGCGCCTGATGATTATGAACCGGTTTCTGTGCGTACGAGAAAACCGACAGCACCTGTCAGGATGACTCGAAGAATACGAACAGTTTTGCGGACCTAAGATCGAGTAGCAGACCGAGTTCAGACCTCTCGATACAACAGACGAACGCGCCTGATGAATAAGAATCGGCCGCTGTAACTATCAGCTCTGTAGCGTTCCTACAGCCCGAGTTAAGTACAAAAAAAACCGACAGCACCTGTCGAGATGACTCGAATAATACGAATAGCTTCGCGGACCAAGCTCGAGTAGAAGACCGAGTTCAGACCTCTCCATTCAATAGACGAACGCGTCTGATGACTCTAAATCGGTTTCTGTGACTATCAGCTCTGTTGATTTCCTAAATCTCGAGTTATGTGCAAAAAACCGGCAAGGCTTGTCGAGATGACTCGAAACGGCCGATCCCGCCGGAGTTTTGGCAGTAAAAGATACCCGATCGAGCTGAGATCAAGACGGCGAGCGGGAATAAGATCGAATACCACGGGAAAACATACTAGAGCTCAAACGAATTGTTAAAAATTCGAACCGACCAAAAGTCACCAAAAGGTCTGTCGAGATTTTTCTTGCCAACTAGCTCTCCAGCGCCCCGGAATTACTCCTAAGCTTCCAGCAACTAGCTAAGGGAAGCTCTACGAGTTACCTCTGCATGCGACAGGCGGACGCGCCTGATGTCTCCGAACCGGTTTCTGTAATTACTAGCCCTGTAGCCCCCCTGCAGACCGAGTTAAGTACAGAAACCGACAGCACCTCTCAAAGTGACTCGAACAATACGAATAGTTTCGCGGACCTAGCTCGAGCAACAGACCAAGTTCAGACCTCTAGATGCAACAGACGAACGCTCCTGATGATTCTGGATCGGTTTCTGTAAGCATCAGCTCTGTAGCTGTCCTACAGCTCGAGTTAAGTACAGAAAACCGACACCGCGTATCAAGATGACCCGAAACGGCCGATCCCGCCTGTGTGCTTTTTGGCAATAATATCTACCCGATCGATCTGAGATCAAGACGGCGAGCAGAATAAGATCGAATATCACGGGAAACATACTAGATCTCAAACGAATTGAATTTCGAGAACAAATTTTTCAACCGACCAAAAGTCACCAAAAGGTCGGTCGAGATTTTTCTTACCAACTAGCTCCCCAGCGCCCCCGAACTGGCGCCGTAGAAAAACGTGGGCGTCGGCGGTAAACCGTCAACCTTTCTTACCGCCGGGGGACTCGCAGAGCTTCCTGACCATATATTGTCCAAAGAATTAACAGAGAACAAACAGTTTTTCAGCCCATAGCAGATTGATCTGTCTAGTGATATCCCATTGCTGTGCTGAACAATTCTATAGCTCATCTGCAGCGTGTAGAAAATGCCATCAGGGAGAAAGTGGCAGAGTACGAATCCGTGTTTGGCGTCTGCGTTCACAACAGACCCAAACCAAGCGTCTAGATGCTTCACGCCTCACGATTTCCTTCTGATTTTTCGGCCGCTCGAGTTCAGGGAAGAAATTCACCATCATTTCCAAAAAAAATATCGGTCGAATACGAATAATTGTGTGAACCTAGCTCGGGTAGCAGACCGAGTTCAGACCTCTCAATGCCACAGACGAATGCTCCTGATGCTTCTGGATCAGCTTCTGTGCGCACCAGCTCTGTAGCTCTCCTACAGCCCGAGTTCAATACAGAAAATGGACAGCACCTGTCGAGATGACTCCAAGAATGCGAATAGTTTCGCGGACCTAGCCCGAGTAGCAAACCCAGTTCAGACCTCTGGATGCAACAGACGCATGATGATTCCAAATCAGTTTCTGTGCGTATCAGATATGTAGCTCCTCTACAGCCCGAGTTACTTGCGAAAACCGACAGCACTCTCAAGATTACTCGAACGATACGAGTAGGTTCGCGTAGCTCGAGTAGCAGACCGAGTTCAGACCTCTAGATGCAACAGACGAACGCGCAAGATTATTCTGCATCAGTGTCTGTGCGAATCAGCTCTGTAGCTCCCCTAGAGCTCGAGTTAAGTACAGAAAACCAACAGTCCCTGTCGGGATGACTCGAGCGATACGAATAGTTTTGCGGACCTAGCTTGAGTAGCAGACCGAGTTCAGACCTCTGCATGCGACAGACGGACGCTTCTGATGTCTCCGAATCGGTTTCTGTGATTACCAGCCCTCTAGCCCCCTACAGCCCGAGTTAAGCACAGAAAACCGACAGCACCTCTCTAGAACACTCGAACAATACGAACTATCTCGAGCAGCAGACCGAGTGCAGACCTCTGGATTCAACAGACAAACGCGCCTGATCATTCTGAATCGGTTTCTGTTAGTATCAGCTCAGTAGCTCTCCTATAGCTCGAGTTATGTACAGAAAACCGTAAATGCGTGTCAAGATGACCTGAAACAGCCGATCCTGCCGCAGTGCTGTTTGGCAGTAAAAGGTACCCGATCGAACTGAGATCAAGACGGCGAGCGGGAATAAATTCGCCGGCCCAACGGGCCAGGGCGTGCTAAGATCTCCGGTAACTGGTTAACAGTATTAACAATATTTCTAGTTCGCGCGCGCGGGGCGGCCCCTGGGGGTCCCCCGGCGAAAAGTACCCCGACCAACGCCCGGTCGCCGCCCGACCGCCGCCCGACCGCCGCCCGACCAAGTCTACTCAGAGATGGTTTTCCTTCTG